CTTTGACAATCTGTATTGAGCTGTCCCCAACTATAATAGCATCATCAAGCTGCATCACACTGAGGCAGCCATTTGTTCATTCCCATCTCATCACAGAATGATGGTCTTGTGGTCTCAGATGTGTGCAAATACCTGTTTTATTCATAGTGCCACAAAAGATCAGCCAATAAGAATAGAAAAGCAAACGCTCATAAAACTTGAACTATGAAATAATGGAATTGTAAAGAAAGAAATTCAAAGTGCCATTTGAATTTGATGAAATCCTCAGACAACCAAACTACAACCTGAACCAATGTAATGTAGAGAAATGTCTGTGAAAAATAATAGAACATTTTAAATGTGCCTATGGTGGAATGGAAATCTAACCCAACAGGACACTCTGAGAAAAAGAAAGAATAAGAGACCTTTATATCAGTTTTTATGTAACCACACTTTGCATAGCAAAGGGTTGGGAACTAGAAGGAATGGCTCAAATAACTTGACATTTCCTTTGATACAGTGGTCCATCTTTTTTTTTCTTATTTTTTTCTCTTTTTTCCAATTTATCTATTTCTGTGAAGTGATGAACATCCAAAGGGGTGGTATTTAAAAATACTTGAAAAATGTTATATTCAGGGTCTTGATTGCTAACCTGATCTAGATTGGATGTGTTCTGCTTTTCAGCTGCACCTTGTGGCAGGGAAGACTTTATTGAAGAAGTCACAGTGCTATGTGGTTTTAACTTCTCTTGTCAGCACCAGCATAATTGTGTTGACACACTCAAGATGTCCCTAAGCCTTTTTCCACACTTCTCTTTGCCTCATCTTTTTGTAAGGTCCTCTGTAATGAAATAATTTTTTGTAACTTTCCCTAGGAACTAATTTTTTTTTTTATTAGGGAGCGTGGTGGTGTTTGGTACATTCGATTTCCTCTGTTGGCCTGCTGAAATTGCTAGACAATTGAAACTTATTGATTGATGGGGTGATAAAATGATAAATAGAAGGATAAAACCTCCAAGATAGGAGCTAAGTTAGAGAAATAAAATTCAGAAGTGACTTTGTTTTTAATTGCAACATAAATTTGAGAAAAAGGGTTATGAGATTTCATTTCTACAAATGCTTATGGGGGTGAGTTTGAAGAGGCAAAATGAGGCCTTCTGGGCTGATATGGCCCATTGTGTAAAGATGTATTTAAGTAATTAAGGGCAGTAAAGGCTCAGTGGGGAGGACCAACTAGAGTGCAAAGCAGGGAAATGGACAGTTCCAATGTGCACCACTGACAACACAATTTGCTTACATCATGAACTATCAGATGTGGAAAAATCTGTTAAAAGACTGAAATGGGATAGAAGAGTAAAAAAGAAAAAAAACAAAAAGAAGAGGAAGAAATCATCCTTGGTTTTCCAGTGAGACAGTGTACCAATAAAAGGATCAGTATACTGTCAGTCACATTCCCACAGTGTTTACACAGGAAAAGCAAGACTTTCTCAGAGGTCTACTGACTAGATTTTCCCTGATTTAACTATGCAAATAGATTTTATCTATAATAATTTTAAAAATTATTATGATTGTAATAAAATTAATAACCTGACCTCAAATGGAAAGGGAAAAATATTTATAGAAACTTGTCTTCTTTCAGGAAGTGTTTATCATTATAGCTTCAAAATCCAAAAATGTGACTAACAATAAAAAGACAATTAAAATTAAAAATACAAAGGTTTAAAGGTTTAATTTTTTTTGCTTTCTGGTTCTTAAAGGACACAATCTTTTAAGGACCATTTTCTGCCTCTAAAAATCACAGAATACCTTATATAGAAATGAACACTATATTTTCAAGTATTTACATGGCTTAGGAGCCTTTTATTCCAAGAAGACAATAGCCTCTAAATTAAATTCAAGAAATCACAAGTAATTAAAGAGAATTATTAAGAAAACACAATTTCAAAAGAAAAAAAAAAAGGATGAAGAAAAATCAAAAAGAAAGAAAGTTGTAGTATCAGTTCCAAGTCTGTCAAGCTCAAAATACCCTCCATAAATCACTGGAGCAGTCGAAAACTTGATCAGCTCATCCCTGAACTCCCAGATATCCTCACTTCCTACTTCATTTTGTGAGTAGACTACTGTAAACAGCCCTAGATTAACTTGGAGCTATCAGTCTATTGCACATGGTATTATTATTAGTCACTCAAAGCCTCCAGATATAAAACATACAATTGCCCCCAGGTCTTTTCTGAAAGTACAGTTCAGTTAGCTAGTTTACATAGCATATTGAGCTTTTGTTGTGAATGGCAAATGTAAAGCTTTCCTGATATGAACTCACCAAATTTTGGAACACTTTCATTTTTGTTAATACTCATGGAAATATCCTGAGTTTACCATGTGTATTTATATAATATTTAAATTTCTGTTGTGCAGAAACTTTAAAAGATAAATATTATTTGTTGAAAACAGAATAAGATGTGGAAAGGCATGAACTTGGGGGGGATCATTTTATAACCATGTCATAAGAGGCTAAAACCAGCATTGAAATATCCTGACAGACTTCTCATACATTAGCAATATTGCCATTAAATCAAAGTAGAAACCAAACCAAATCAAAACAGAAAACAAGTTTTCTCAGCAAAAAGTCCCACTAAAAGTAAACCTGTAAAAAATAGTGCCTTAATTTTACTGTTTGAAGAATTGCTTTAAGCTTCCATGTACTGAAAAGAGTCTCTTACAAAAATATTTGAGTTTTTCATTAGGTGACCAAGGTTACCATTGCTCTCCCTCCAGTCCGTAAAAGAGCACTGGGCCTTGGTAGGATATCAATTGCCCTGTGCCATAGTGCTACCATGCAAAATTTGAGGGGAAAATAGGAAGATCTTGATTTGGCAGTTAATTTTCCCACTGCTTCTTGGAGGTTTTTTTCTAAGTTCATTGGCTAGTAAAGCAATTTAAGACTTATGAGAAAGGATTTCTCCCACCAGTTGCTTGTAAAGCTCCTAATTTTTGGCCCATTTTTTCAGCCAGAAGTGTATCATAGAAAGCTGGAAACAGTTTATCCTTTGATGTAAATGGTGAAAAGTTTGAACCGTTATTGTGACAACAAACGTAATAACAGTTTAAGCATACTTAGTTTTTACAGTGCAGATCACAAAAGACTACTACAAAAGACTACTACAGCACAGAGAAAAAGTAATATTTTCTGAAAGGCAAAATATGAATTGCATGTGGGATTAGCTTCTTGTGTTCCACATACTACACAGTTTGAAAGCCTTGACCTCTATCACTGTTGAGTTCTATTTAATAGCTAACTTTTAAATTAAATGTTACAATTTCTTTTAAAAATGGATAAAAAATTGAGTCTTAAGGAGATAAATATTAGTGAAGCATAAACAATCCTGATGCAACAGGATCCTGAATAACAATCCTGATTCAACTTCCCATTCATATCACCAGAATAAAGCTACCATGAGAAATACAGACACATGAGAAGAGCATTTTAAAAAGGCTGTAGGTTTCTATAGGAAAATAAAATGAAACTAGAAACACATATATACATATATAATACTATATATATTGTTATTTTAAACACTTTTCTTCTCACTATATATCAGCATGAAAATTCCCCAATTATGATGGGGATGATGAGTTGCAGCATTGTGTTTCTGAAGTTGCTAGTCTATTTCAGTCACTTGCCAACTTTTTTCCCTTTTATTTTTAAATTTTTTATAAAATCATTTTTTCAATGTTAAAAACTGCAGTCTGTTAAAAATCTATTAGTTAAATTACTAGTTTTTGTGTCAGAGAATAGTTCAGTTGCAGGATTAAGTGGTTGATATGTATTTTTCTTGACAGTTACAAAAATAATTCTGTTGCAAATACTTTTTTCTGAAAACAGGCAGAATACAATGGTAGTGCAGCTGTGAAATAGATACAGATATAGCTGACCTGCATCTGTCTGAGTGTACTCCAAACCTAGAAGTCTGGAGAAATGGATGTGAAGACAGTTTTCTGTACTTCTCTATGGGCTGTCTTTTATTCATGGGGTCATGTCTGGAGGTTGTACAGTCCAGATCACAAAGTACAGTGTCACCTGAACACTGCTCTAATGTTTCCTGAGCCAAACTGTGTATTTGTATGGTACAACTCACATTGGCGTAAGCCTAGAATTTGTTCAGCAGTATCTACTGCTGCCCTAGACATACTTCAGGACAGTTTTGACTAGATCTGGTAAATAATATATCAATTCTTTATTCTTTACCAAGGAGAAAATCACCCATAAGCTGGAAGCATCTTAGTTTAACACATTGTCTTGATTCTTAGATTTAGTTTGTACCAGAGTGCCATGATCCTGAATAGTTTTCAAGATTTTTACTTGAAAAGATAAAAGCTACAGCAACATACAGAAAAAAAAGATACAAAACTGTTCTTGATCTTCCCCCTGCCTTGTGAAACATCCATCAAAATCAGATAAGACAGACTGACTTTTGGTAATGTTTTAGTGCGTCCTTACCACATTGCCTTATCTTAAGTCAATTGGTTTCTGCAGGTTATTCTAAGAAATGAGATGGGTTGTTTAAACAGGAGTCTTAGAGATGAAAGACATTTCTCAGTATCTAATAATAAACCAAATATTATGGTAAAATAAACAGAAAATCAGCCCTAAAATTCATACATCTAACAATGTTTTAATAAAATAACATACATAGATGACACTAAACTCTGTTAACTGAATTATTTACATTTTTTTTATTGCTCTCATAGTGGTTATATGCTATTGGGTGTAGAAATTCTTCTTGCTATCACAATGTAAGGAAATAACTCTGTCTCCTTTTGTCAAAAATTTTTTTCTCTAAAGAAAACAGTTTACTGTACAAAATAAAGAGCTGCTCAGAATAAAAAGTATGAAAGTCATTTGCAATTGTGATTGCGAAATAGATTTTTTTTGCACAGAGGGAGCACTGAGATAGAACTTGCAATTGAAAAAACCTGAAAACTGACAATAAAAAAACCCAAAACCTATTTCAATAGACTTACCTGTTTAATTCTCTTAAAAGTTCAACACTTCTTCTTCACCCCACAAATCTTTAAGCCACTGGGTGAAGTCAAAATACAGCACTTGATCATAATAATCCCAGCCTCTCATGGACAACAGCATCTCTCATGGCACCACACTCATAATGCTTGAAAACACCTGGAAAATGCAGATATTCTTACATTTTTATAGAAATATACTCAACCATGTCTTAATATAAGGAAATACAAGCACTTTATCAATGACTACATTATAAAGGAGTATAAAACCATCAATATCACTTGGTGAACAAGATGGGGACTGAGAAGTGCGTGTTCCAGAAAACATATTTTAGCTGAGTATATGCAATTCTGTTGCACTTATTGATCCATTAAAACTCTCAGGAATTAGAAATCATATTTATCTTTTTTTTAAAAATCGCAGATTTTCAGACATAGACTTGTAAGTCCTTTCTCATTTGAATTTCAAAATTAGTATCTTCTTCTGAACAAAACAGAATCTTATTTGAGAAAGGTCATGGAAATATTTCAGTACAATTGTAGTTAGTTGTTCCATGAGAGCTTTGCTGAGTACCATTTTGTTGAGTATCTTTAATGGAAAATTGTACCATCCAACTGGATGATGCAATGCAAACTGATAGCAATAGTAGGCTCTTTTTACTAAGCAAAACAAGTAATCAGGTGGTATATTGAAAGATGGTTGCAACATTAATCTAGATCTCTGCTTCTGTATAGTTGCACTATTTCTTGAAAAAATTTGCCACCATTTAGAAGTACTTGCCAGTAATTCACAGAATCACAGTCTCACTTCTGCTCAAGGAACTAATGAGGAATGTCCCTGGAAAAGTGCTTTTCAAGTCACTGGAGTCAGTCAATACTGACACCTTTTGAGCACCACCTCCAAAGGGCACAGTAACAGGCAATTCCAAAGTGTCAGAAGTCAAGCAAGCAGGACAAAAGGCCAGCCTGCCTGTCAGGGATCTTCTTTTGAAGATAAGGCAAAAAAGGAAGGTGTAAGTGGGAGCAACATCAGGTAGTGTGGGAGGAATACAGAAATGCTGCTTACCACTTTAGGGAAAAAATTCATTCAAAAATAGTTCATAGAGCTGGTTGATTTCTTTGCAAAGCCTCTCTTGATGATTTTTTGAATGGTCTTGGGAATCTGGAGAGGTCCCAGCTCACAAGAAGCTGAGGAACGTTGTTCTAATCTTTAAAAAGGGCCAGAAGAATGAGACTGGAAAATACAGGCTTGTCAATCTCACTTGACTCCCTGGTAAGGTTATAGAGAAGACTATTCTGGGGGATGCTGAAAAACTAAATGGAACCTGAATGACAGCACAGTCACCAGCATGGCTTCTTGAGGGGAAAGTCCTGCTTGTCAAACCTTTCTTCTTTTTATGACAAGGTATCCCACCTAGCTGATCAAGGGAAGCTAGTTTTGTAATCATTTTGCATTTCAGTAAAGCTTTTGATACTGTGTCTCACAGAAGCCTTCTGGACAAAATAGCCAGCACACAGCTGGATAAACACATCATGAGATAGGTGAGCAATCACAAGTCTGTGTGTCTTGCTTACAGGTCAGGCACAAAGGATCACAGTGAATGGGGTGACATCAGACTGAGGAACTGTCATTGGGTGCCTTCCACAGGGCTCCATCCTCAGTCCTGTGCTCTTCAACATCTTCATTAGTTATGTGGACACAGGACTAGAAGGGATTCTAAGTAAGTTTGCAGTTGATACAAAATTGGGAGAGACTGATGACTCTCCCTAAGTCAGGGAGACCCTGCAGAGAGACTTGGACAAATAAGACTGTCGGGCAATCATCCCAAATATGAAGTTCAACAAGGGCAAGTGCCAGATTCTGATGGCACTGGGCAATCATGGGTTTATGTACACACTAGGGAATGAGATACTGGAAAGCAGTGCCATGGCAAGGGACCTGGGAGTCCTGGTGGGTGGCAAGTTGAACATGTGTCAGCAGTGCCCCGGCAGCCAGGAGGGTCACTTGTGTCCTGGGGACATCAGAAACAGCATCATCAGTGGGGCTCTGCTCTGCACTGGGGTGGCGTCACCTCAAGTGCTGGGGGCACCTTTGGGTGCCACAGTGTAAGAAAGATGTAAAGCCATTACAGAGTGTCCAAAGGAGATCAAAAAAGATGGTGAAGGGCCTTGAGGTGAAGACATATGAGAAGTGTCTGAAGTCACTTGGCCTGTTCAGCCTGGAGGAGACTGAGGAGAGAGCTCACTGCAATTACAACTTTCTCATGAGGGGAAGAGGAGCAGCAGACACTGATCTCTTCTCTGTGGTGAGCAGTGACAGGACACAAGAGAATGTCCTGAAGTTGTGTCAGGAGAGGTTCAGGTTGGCTATCAGGAAGGCATTTTCACTCCGAGGGTATTAGGGCACTGGAGCAGGGACCTCAGAGAAGTTGATCAGACAGAGTTTGAAAGCTTTTGGACAATTCTTTCAGGAACAAGGTGTGACTCTTGTGTATGCCCTATGCAGGGCCAGGAGTTGGACTTTGACAATCCTCGTGGGTCCCTTCCACCTTGGCATATTCTGTTATTTTTGGATTTTTGTTGGAAGAGACCTCTAAGATCATAGAGTCCAACCTGTGATTGATCTAGACTGTACAACCAAGTGCCATGTCCAGTCATTTCTAGAATACTTGCAGGAATGGTGTCTCCACCACCACCTCAGGCAGTCAGTTCAAATGCTTACCAACCCCTTCCATGATATCAAACCTCAACCTTACCAGGAGCTATTCAAGGCTACATTCTCTTGTTTTGTCACTGGTTTTCTGGGATAAGTAACCTGTCAATGGTTTTCTAGCCAAGCCCTATCTTTCCACTATCTCCTTTCATATACTTGTAGAGAATTATAAGGTCTCTCCTGAGCTTTCATTTCTCCGGGGTAAACAACCCCTACTCTCTCAGACACTTCTCATATGACTTAGAAATCAAGTGGACATTTCTGCTACATTCTAGCTGGTTTTTTTTCAGAGTTTAAACTACAGTGCACCTACCTCTTTCACTAAAAAGATGAATAATTTAGATACGTTTACTTAATAAAGCTGTTTTACCATCTGTTCTCTGTCACTGAAATGTTTGGACCAATGAACAGATATCATGGAAAATACCAAATGGCCCTCAGATAAGGTAAGTTCATCCAGGTGATACACTGATCTATGCTTTCCTTAAGAGCCCCAAATTGTTATTTCAGTCCTTGTTGAAATTTAAAGAGCACTGCTCCTAAACATCTCAAAAGTTCTGTACGTTCCCCTTCCACAAGTGTTGCATATGGCTTTTAATAGAGAGATGGAAAACATGTGTACAGAGGTGTTAGTTCCATGCATATGTACGTATGATAAAAAGAAAATATTCTATCTGCATTGAGAAACATCTGAAAGAAAATTACAGTAAAATTAGTTTTGTGAATATTTCAAAAGTTAAAAAATAATTTGGCTTCTAAACAAATTAAAGCCTTCAGCCTACATTTAACCTGCAGCAACTGAAGTAAAATGAATGAATCAAAGGAGAAACTGTTCAGCTTTCATCAGGCTTTGCCCAGTTTGGAAGTGAGAGTTCAGTGCATCTGAAGCATGATGCATTTCCATGAAAAACAAAGTTCCAAGCCTAAAAAATTTATCATCCATGACTTCAAATGGAAGAGCAACCATATCCATTGTTTTAGGATCGTACTGGACTAAATGACCAGAAATTACATATTATTTTCATCATACACTAGGCGAGATGAATGCAGGAAAAGATAAAGATTAGTGGAACATACTTTAAAAATCAACTGAATATGTTGCATTGAGGTGCTAATGGGTTTTTTTTTTATCTAATCCAGTGCATATAGATCAGTCACTGATTGATGCCTGGGTCTCCATTATCAAATACCGAACAGAATTTTACTGAAATTGAGGAATGAACGCACTAATATTCACACTATCATAATAAATCTACTGTGGAACTCAAAATACATGGGAAAGGATTCTTTATCTTTCCTTGTAATTTCCATCATAACACCTCCTGTAGAGCAGCAAGAAATTTTTCTCCAAAAGCATAATATCACAGACACCTAAAGGAGTATAAAAAAAAAGTAAAGATTTTATGACCATCTTCCAGAAATGCACAGGAAAATTTTATTAAATTGTGGTCATAAAATCTTCAAAATATGTTGGACTGTGTATGTTCAAAGTTAAATACTCCAAATATTTTTTAAAAGTCTGTGATATTTCTGCATCTTACAGGAAAGAAATTAACTAAGATTTCAGATTTGGATACATCCAAACTATATGATCAACTTTGATCTTTAATGTAAGTGACAAAGGCAGAAGGTAATACGAGGGATAAAGTTTCTCCAGAAACTAGAATTTGATAATAACATACACAGGGGACATTCTTGAGTCAGAAAAAGAGAAACTGGGCTGAAATGGTCAAAATGAGAACTGATGCCTGATCTTAACCATTTACTTCTCTAAAGTGATAGCATGGAAAATAACAAATTTTCAGTTCCCTTGAAATTGCAAGATAAAGCTTAAAACTAACAGTCAATTAGATAAAAGAATGTGCAAGTAGACACACAGGATGGTAAATGTAGCTGGAATCAGTGGATAGACACACAATGAGGAACCTAAGTGATTTTTGTGGCAAACTTCTGTAACAAAAAAAGAACAGTGCATGCCCTAAGAATAGTGTAAGGCAGGGCCACTTACAGTTTTGGGGGCTGTCAGTGAGTACAACCACCAGAAACTCCTTTACATGACCCTCTAAGACCACAAAAGGAGTTCCAGTAAAAGGGATGAGGTATATAAGTTAGTGCTAGGAAAAGTTATATTTATCTATTAGCTAGGAAGTATGTTGCAATGAGTAGAGGAAAATCCTCCAAATGTGTCCAACGTTGTAATAAAGAACACCTGCTTTCTAATACCTCAAATTGTGTTAGAAAGTTTATTCTCCAGCCAATTTTGGAGTCAAAAGAAAACTGCTTAAAATTAGAACAATCTAGAGCAGAAAAAGTAGATAGGAATGGTGTTTAACCCCGTGAGGGTAGGTAGGTATTTGTCTCTAAATACCAATAGATGGAGCAGCAGGCAAAATTTCTACTAGTGTGCTAACCCAAATCCACACACCTGTGCTAACAAATGGGGATCA